CCCTGTCATGGTGGTGAGGAACTGGCACAGGTTGCCCAGAGAGGTGGTGATTTCCAGGGTTTCATCCCTGGAAGTGTTGCAGGCCAGGTTGGACAGGCCCCTGAGCAACCTGATCTAGTGGAAGGTGTCCTGCCTGTGGCAGGGGTGCAATAAGATGGCCTTTAAGGTCCCTCCCAACCCAAACCAGTCTGTGATTCTGACTGGTTGCTTTGCCCTCAGCTCTGACCCCCAGTCCGAAACGCAGCCCAAGGTGGGATTTGCATTGCCCTGTCCTGCAGTCCCCGGGTAGGAGCTGGGCTGAGCTGAACTAAAGCCCCTCAGCCCCAAAGGAGACCACCCACCTGGGGTGTTCCCTGCCCACATCCCTCAGTGCAGCCCAGTGGGGCGAACGAGGAGCCCATGGAGGTGTCCAGCTCCTGGGGGCCACCCTGAAGATGGGCAACCACTGCAAGCCCTTTCCCTGCCCTTTTTCCTGAGCTCTTGGAAAGCCTCAATCCAGGGGCTATGGATCCTCGCACCCACTGTCCCAGCTCTTGCCCTGAGCCCAGGCTCGGAGGTGTTCCAGTGGTCGGGGCAGACAGAACAGCCTGTCACCCCCGCAGCAGTGACTGCCAGCACAGGGGACACGTGGTGTCACCTCTCTGTCCTACACCACACCCGGCGTGACCACACCCCGGGAGCCGCCGAGGGCTTCGGGTGAGCCCCGGCCAGCAGCGAGGACAGGCTCTTCCCTGCGGGCACACCCTGCCCTGAGGGGCTTGGGTTCAGGAAGGAGGGAAGGAAGGGCAGCAGGACAGCAGGAAGCAGAGAGATGAGCCGCGAGCAGCGGGGGCTGGGATGGGAGCAGAGAGAGCCAGGGGTGGGGGGAGGGGGGTCGGGCTCTGCCGCCGTTCCCCTGTTTACCTGCTCTGGGGCGTTTCTCCGCAGAAAGATCGCTTCGTCAAACTCCTGGACCAGCTGCACAACTCCCTGCGCATCGACCTCTCCATGTACCGGGTAAGGTGCCCGCCCTGCCTCGGTTCCCTCACCTGGCTGATGAAGCCTGGAACAACAGCTGGCTGTTTCCTCCCCCTCGCTCCCCCATGGGAGAGTTTTGTGAGCAACTCCCCCCCCTTTTCTTCCCAGAACAACTTCCCTGCCAGCAGTCCCGAGCGGCTGCAGGATCTCAAGTCCACGGTGGATTTGCTGACCAGCATCACCTTCTTTCGGATGAAGGTACTGCTGGGGCCCCACTTGCCCCGTTTTTGGGGGGGATCTGACTCTCACTGGCCCTGGTTCTGTGGGGGTTGAGGTTGCTCTGGCCTATGGTGGCTGTGTGGGTGGCTGGGGGTGTGGGTCTGACCCCAACGCCACTCCCTCCCTGCATCCCAGGTCCAGGAGCTGCAGAGCCCCCCACGAGCCAGCCAGGTGGTGAAGGACTGTGTGAAGGCCTGTCTCAACTCCACCTACGAGTACATCTTCAACAACTGCCACGAGCTCTACAGCCGCGAGTACCAGACAGACCCAGTGCGTGGGGCAGGGGGTGCTGGGCAATGACCTTCCCCATCCCCTGCCCCTCTCCTGTTCCCAGTGCTCCTGCTCCTTCTCCAGAGCACTCAGCCCGGTGCAGAATGAGTCCCTAATCTTGGGCAGGGCATAAGCCCCAAAGCTGCAGGGTTGAGACCACAAGAGACAAGAGGGGGCTGTGTGTGGGCATCCAGGGTGTTCCCTCCCACCTCCTTGTTAGCTCTGACACAAATCTGAGCCCTGCAGGTGGGGTGACCGGAGTCTCCTCTGTGTCCTCATCCCTCCAGAATAAGAAAGGCGAGGTGCCCCCTGAGGAGCAGGGCCCCAGCATCAAAAACCTGGATTTCTGGTCCAAGCTCATCACCCTGATCGTCTCCATTATTGAGGAAGACAAGAACTCCTACACACCCTGCCTGAACCAGTGAGTAGGTGCTGGGGAAGGGGATGCTGCTGCACCCAGAGGGGATTCCCACCTGGAGGCAGTGGGAACCTGAGGCCTTTGGAAGTGGGTGTAACACCCGTTCTACAGATGGGAAAGCTGAGGCAGGTGGGCAGTGTGTGGGGGATGTCTCTCCATGTGGAGGGCTGGTCCCCCTTGTGTTCAGAGCCTCAAACCCTGCCAGGGGAGGTGCAGGTTGAACATCAGGAAGAATTCGTGGAGAAGGGTTGTTAATCATTGGAAGGGCCCGCCCAGGGTGGAGTCACCATCCCTGGAAGTGTTCAAGGAACGACTGTATGTGGTGCTTAGTGCCGTGGTCTAGTTGGCAAGGTGGTGATCAGGCAAAGGTTGGACTCAATGGTCTTGGAGATCTTCTCCAACCTAAATGATTTTGTGATCCACATTCTCCCCTCGCCCCAGATTCCCTCAGGAACTGAACGTGGGGAAGATCAGCGCCGAGGTGATGTGGAACCTCTTTGCTCAGGACATGAAGTATGCGATGGAGGGTGAGTCCCCCCCGCCACCCCGAGCCAGCGGGGGAACCAGACAGGAACAGCCCCTCTGCTCCCACCTCACCTGTTCCTGGGCAAACCCGTTTCACCTCCTCATCAACACCATACCCAGCTTAAATCCCACGCAGGAAGCACTTCCACCTTCCCCGCTAACCCGGCATCCCTGTAGCTGCCCCTGGGGAGCTGCCCCCCAGGTTTTTGGGGCTCAGAGCGACCCCCACACCCTTCCCCGTGCAGAGCACGAGAAGCACCGGCTGTGCAAGAGCGCAGACTACATGAACCTGCACTTCAAGGTGAAGTGGCTGTACAACGAGTACGTCACCGAGCTGCCCTCCTTCAAGAGCCGCGTGCCCGAGTACCCCGCGTGAGTGCAGCCCTGGGGGCGGGGAGTGGGGCTGGCACCCCGAGGGCTGGGGGCTCACCACAGATGGGTTTCCCTTCCAGCTGGTTCGAGCCCTTCGTTATCCAGTGGCTGGATGAGAACGAAGAGGTGTCGCGGGATTTCCTGCACGGAGCGCTGGAGCGGGACAAGAAGGATGGGGTAGGAACGGCTGGAGCTGCGGTTGGGGGCCAAGGGGCTCCTTCTTGGATGTGTCTTCATGGGGCCAAAGTCTCGTCCCTGCCTCCTGCTGACACAGCCTCTCACTCCCACAGTTCCAGCAGACATCAGAGCATGCCCTCTTCTCCTGCTCCGTGGTGGATGTCTTCTCCCAGCTCAACCAGAGCTTCGAGATCATCAAGAAACTGGAGTGCCCCGACCCCCAGATTGTTGGGCACTACATGCGGAGGTTTGCCAAGGTGGGTGGCTTGGTGGGGGTCATCAGCACCCCTGGGACCCTGGGCCCAGCCCTGCCACCTCCATCCAGCTTTGACAGGGGCACAGTGCACAGAATGTGCTCCCTCTGGCAGCCAGTGTGCCACCAACATGCCCTGGAACACTCCCAGCTTTTCTAGAGCATGAAGATTAATTAATTAATAGCTAATTAATGAGTTATTTGGTTAATTAATATAGATTAATTAAAACTCGCAGCTCGCTGCAATGTAGGAGGGAGTTGCATCCAGGCTTGGTGTGCTGGTCATGGAGCTGCCCATGGAGACCAGATGTGCTGGATCTTGCTTCCAGTGGCTGTGTCCGTGTGGCTCCTGGCACATGAACATGAGCCAGGGGTGCCCACGTGGGCAAGGAGGCCAAGGGTACCTGGCCTGTACCAGCCACAGTGTGTCCAGCAGGGCCAGGGCAGTGACTGTCCCTGTGCTGGCACTGTTGAGGCACCACCTCAAATCCTGGGGTCAGCTCTGGGCCCCTCAGGACAAGAAGGACAGTGAGGGGCTGGAGAGTGTCCAGAGAAGGGAATGGAGCTGGGGAGGGGGCTGGAGCCCCAGGAGCAGCTGAGGGGGCTCAACCTGGAGAAAAGGAGGCTCAGGGAGGATCTTCTTGCCATCTACAACTCCCTACCAGGAGGGTGGAGTGAGGGGAGGTTCAGTCTTCTCCCAGGTAACAAGTGATAGGGCAAGGGGAGATGGCCTCGAGTTGCACCAGAGGAGGTTCAGGTTGGATATTGGGAGAATTTCTTCGCTGAAAGGGTTGTAAAGCACTGGCACAGGCTGCCCAGGGCAGTGGTGGAGTCACCATCCCTGGGAGTGTTCAAAACTCTGGATGTGGTGCCTGAGGATGTGGTTTGGTGGTGAAGACGGCGGTGATGTTGGGTTGATGGTTGGACTCGATGACCTTGAAGGGCTTTTCCAGCCTTAACAATTCCATAATTCTGTGACCCGTGGGGCCAGAGGGTGTGGGGATCCCAGGGTTTTATCCAGGCCTGGCATTGTTTCACTGCTCTGAGACTGATGGTTTCCTTCTCTCCCTCCTTCCTCATCCCTGCTGCTGTTGGGGTGCCTTGGTTGCTGCCCTGTTTGCTGCAGACCATCAGCAATGTGCTGCTCCAGTATGCCGAGATCATCTCCAAGGATTTTGCCTCATACTGCTCTAAGGAGAAGGAGAAAGTGGTGATGTATCTCCCCTCTGCTTGTCACCTGCCCCGTGCTACTGGGCAAGACTGTCCCCACATGGTGACCCTGGCTATCCCCTCAGCCCCAGAGTGGGTCCCCCTGATGTGGTCCTGCCCTCAGTCCCTTCCTGGCAGGCTCTGACATACTACCACATCACTCTGTGCCATCAGTGTCCTTGTGTCCCCCAGTGCGAGGTGGGAGGGTCCTGGGGCCACGGGGAGCTGTCCCAGCTGGATTTGTTGGTGCTGATTCTTCTCTCCATCCCACCCCTCCAGCCCTGCATTCTGATGAACAACATCCAGCAGCTGCGTGTCCAGCTGGAGAAAATGTTTGAAGCCATGGGTGGAAAGGAGGTGCGTACTGGGGGGGGGTCCAGGAGGGACCCCTGTGGAGGGGTAGATTGATATCCTTCCCCCCAGAGGCAACCCCTTCCCTGGTTCCCCAGTTCCTCACTCCTGTGTGGGATCACACTGTCCCACCCCATGGCACCCTGCTCTGTCACCATGTTGGACTGGGATGGGCTTCACTCTGCACATGTGGGGTGCAGAAACCCCCACTAGGGCCGGTCCAGGGTCCCTGTCAACTTCTCCAACCTGTCCCTCCTCCAGCTGGACACAGAAGCCAGTGATATCCTCAAGGAACTGCAGGTGAAGCTCAACAACGTCCTGGATGATCTGAGCCGAGTCTTTGCCACCAGGTACCCCTGGGGGAGAGGCCGGGGGTGTGAGGCCACGGGGAGGTGTGAGGGCTGAGGAGCTGTGGCTGGGGGCTCTGTGGGGGGTGTTGAGCCTGTGTGTTGTGGTCCCCAGTTTCCAGCCACACATCGAGGAGTGTGTGAAGCAGATGGGGGACATCCTGGGCCAGGTGAAGGGCACTGGCAACGTCCCTGCCAGCACTTGCAGCAGTGTCGCGCAGGACGCCGACAACGTCCTGCAACCCATCATGGACCTCCTGGACAGCAAGTGAGTGTGGGGGGCTACAGGGACCCCCACCCTCCCCAGCACCCCTCCTGAGCTGCTCCAGGAGCAGGGGGGACCTGCAGGGTCGAGGTGACCGGGAAGGGGTGACATGGAGTGCTCTGGGGGTCCTCCAGCCCTGTCCCCTCCCCACAGCCTGACACTCTTCGCCAAGATCTGCGAGAAGACGGTGCTGAAGCGGGTGCTGAAGGAGCTCTGGAAGCTGGTGATGAACACCATGGAGAAGACCATCGTCCTGCCCCCACTCACGGACCAGACGGTGAGTGATGGGGACAGGGAGCAGGGACACACTGGTGACTGACTGGGGCCAGTGTGGGACACTGCTGGCCAAGGTGCCCTCACTGGCTGCTGAGGGCACCTTGTGGGCATCCCCAGACTTGTACCCAGCTCCTGGCCAGGGAAGGGGTGGAAGAGAGAGAGGTGCCCCAGGTGCCAGTGCAACCTCTTGGCTGGCTTTGCCAAAGGACCTTCCTGCCACCTCCACTGTGGCACCAAGAGGGAACACTGGTCCTTTCCTCTCCATCCTTTCCTCAGAGCTGGGGCAGCATCCCATTAGCACTGGCTGTGGGCACAGTCTCTGCCAGAAGGGGAATCCAGAGGCTCCTGGAGCGTGAGGAGCCACTACCTGTCAGCCTTGCTGTGGGGCTGGGGGGTTTCACAGAACTGGGGATGCTCTGGGGATGGGGGTCATGTCCCCCAGCAGGGCTGGGCTCTTCCTTGCCCCTGGGGGCTCTAGGGGAGCAAAGCAAACCCAGGGAATGGTGCCTCCTGAGAGGGAGGTTCTTACAGGCTCTGAGGCTCCGTGTCACATCGCTGTTTGTGTGCCCCAGCCTGCATCTTGTAGCTTCCTGGGTGGTTCTCTGGAGGTCAGGCAGGGAAGGGTGACACCAAGGGCTCTGACCCAGCCACACACCTGTCCCTGTCACTCTTTGGTGGCTTTTTTCACTGTTGCAAAGCTGGAGCCACCAGCCTTCCTGTCAGCTTTCTGGGGCTGTGGGGCTGCTGTGCTGTGTCTGGAAGAGAGGGTGCAGGGGTGACCTGTCAGCCCTCAGTGGTGCCACCTCACTGGCACCTTGTCACAGCCCAGAGCCTGGTTTGGGTCAACCCCATATTGCTCCTGACTGGGCCCACACACCCTTGGCCGAATGTTGCCAAATCTTGCAGGAGTGCTGGTGTCACTTTCCCCATCCCAGTCCCTTCCCAGCTGTGTTCTGGAGGCCGTGGGCCCTGTGCTGAGGGCAGAGAAGGGGGCATGGACATGTGGCTCTGTTGGGTGATTTTCCTGAGTCAGGAAGCCTTGGAGGAAGCCATGCTGGGGCTGGTCCCTAGGGCAGGGGACAGCCTGCCCAAGTGGCCCTGGGTGCCAGCCTGTGTGGCTGGGGGTACCTGGTGGCTTGGGGGTACACGTCAGAGCTGAGTGTCAAGTGGGGGTCTCTGGAGCGGAGCCCCTCTGGGGTGAAGCCCCCCTACCACATTCAGGAGGGACTGGAGAGATGGGGATGGGGCCCTGTAGGGACTGAGGAGATGTGATGTGGTGGCAGGGCAGTGACACTGAGTGCTGTGGGGGACACCCCTGGCTCTGGCAGGGGTGGGGGGCACCCAGGGCTTACTGTGGGGCAGCAGGGACTGGGGAGGATGGAGGAGGCGGGGGCCGACACTCACGTCACGGTTGTTCTCTCCAATTGCTCCTCTCGCCTCTCAATGGCAGATGATTGTAAGTACGGCAGCTCCCTGTCTGTCTGTCTGTCTGTCCGCTCTGTGTCGGTCCTGGCCTCGCCGGTTTTTGTCTTGTGTGGCTGCCCTTGCCCTGCCCACGACCCTCCTTCGGCTCCTGACCTGGTCCAGCTCCGTGGTCCCCATCCCCGTGCTGCCCACCTGGCACTGGCTCCTGGCCGGCACTTGCCAGTGGGTGGGAAGGTGTCGGACAGACTGGCAGTGCCGGGGTGTGGGGAGGTCCAGGGGGTAGTGATGGGGTGGGAGGGGATGGTGATGGGCAGTGCCACGGAACCAGGGACAGCCGAGCCCGGGCTGATCCCACCTTGCTCTGTGCTGGGGGCAGAGTGGCCGCTGGAGGCATGAGCAGGGAGCGGTGTGTGCCGGGAGTCAGGGCTGCTCTTCCTTCCCCTCGTGCCTCAGTTTCCCCTCGAGGCCCTGGCTGGGGTCTGGCTGGGGTGGGGTGAGGGCAGAGGAGGATCTCGGTGGTCCCTGCCCAGGTGCTCGGTGGCGGGTCAGGCTGCTGGCACGAGTTGTGGGGCTCCTTCCCTGCCCGGGATGTGACCCTGGGAGCCTGGACTCCCAGTTCCCTCCTCGGCATCGCTGCTGGGTCCTTGCATGGCTTTGACTGAGCAGTTTCCTTCTGTCCTCTTCTGACCAGTCTGTGGCCATGGGCGAGAGAAAGGCAATTCCATCCCCAGTCCTGTCCCCAGCCCTGCTGTGACTCAGGCACCTGTGCAGGAAGGGCAGTGGGGTGGGAGCCAGTGGTTGGGTGCTGGTGCCAATTCCTGAGGGGGCAAACACTCCTCTGCTGTCCCCCAACACCTTTTGTGTCCAACAGCAGCATTTGGGGAGGCCCTGGGGGCAACCTGGGACTGAGCCTCCCCTGGGACCTCGTGGAGACCCAGTGTCCCAGCCTTGCTGAGGCTGTGGGGGATGGGATAGTGTCAGCTCTGTGTACCAACCCCTCTTGTTCATCTGTGACCCTGTGCCAGGGCCAGAGCCCCTCCTGGCAGCCCTGCTTGGCCCTACCTCTGCTGCTTGTCCCTCCTGAGGCTTCCCAGCCAGCTGACTCCCTGCTCCCCTCTCCTGATTCTGACATGTCCCAGCCCACCCCGAGACCCCCCCATGGCACTGCTGCCTCGTTTCTTGCCTAGACAAGTGTGGGGTTCTCTTGCCTGGGCCAGTGTGGGGTTGTCACTGGGCCCAGCCCTGCACAGATCAGGTGCTGTGTGCCAAACCCAAATCCAGCTTCCCCTCCCTGCTCCCTCCCTGGTGCTGGGAGCACCTGCCAGAGCTGGAGAGGGGTGTGGGAGCACCAGAGCCTGCCCACACACAACTGGCTCCTGCCTCCCTGTATCCCACCGAGGATCATCCCTCGTGGGCATCCCTGTATCCCAGCAGGGACCATCCCTCGGGGGCTCAACATCCCTGTATCCCAGCAGGGACCATCCCTCGGGGGCTCAGCATCCCTGTATCCCAGCAGGGACCATCCCTCGGGGGCTCAGCATCCCTGTATCCCAGCAGGGACCAGCTCCACCGTGTGGGGACCAGTTCTCCAGCACTACAACCTCCTGTATTCCAGTGGGGACCAGTTGGTCCAGCATCCCCATGACACCAGTCCATCACTGATTCTCCCAGTGGGGACCAGTGCCCCACTAACCAAGTATCCCAGTGGGTCCCAGCAGGGCCCAGTCCCCCTGCTGACTGTTCTTGAGGAGCTCGGGATGTCTCTGCCACCAGCCTGTGGCCACCCCCTGTGCCCAGCCTTGCCCTGTGTCCCCCTGTGTCCTGTGCCACGCTGTCCCCCCCCGCCCCCCACTCAACCTCTGACGTTGCTTCTACAGGGCACGCTCTTGAGAAAACATGGCAAGGGGACAGAGAAGGTAAATAGCTGTGGGCTCCGTGTGTGTCATCGCCCCGGGGCCACACCCGCGGGCTCACACCCGCCTGCTGTGGAGGCCCAGGCTTGTCTGTGCTTCCTCTGTCGTGCTGTCTGGATGTGGTGTCGTGGTGGGGTGTGCTGTGTTGTGTGCAGGTGGGGGACAGTCACCTGTTCTGTGTCACCCAGGGTAGGGAGCGGGTGCTGTGTGGTGTTTGCCCCCACGGGGGGGATGTGGGGTGTCACCCATCCCTGTGAGGGGATGTGGGGTGTCACCCGTCCCCACAGGGGACACGTTGGGTGTCACCAATCCCCCTGGGGACGCTGCCCCACAATCCTCAGCACCCTCCAGCTGCCTGGCTGGGATAATGAGGGGATGGGGTCCCCAACATGGGGGGCTCAGGAAGAGGGGACCCCCCATACTGTGCCGTGCAGGGCTTACTGGGGGCCCTGGGGCTGCTGAGATCCCCTGGATCTCTGAGCTTGCTCCCCTCTCCTGCTCAGGGGGGCCCAGCAGGGCTTGCTGAGCCCCCAGCCTTGCCCCGAGGGCTTTCTCCAGCACGTGGGCTCTTCCCTGTCTGGGGGCTCCTCACCATGGGATGGGGGCCCAGCACTGCCCCCCCAGACTGCCTGCTCCCCAGATCCTGGGTCTTGGGAAGAGCCATGCCAGCACCCGTCTGGGCAGTGCCTGCAGCTCCCCCTCCTCTCCTGGGGGGCACTGGCTCCAGCCTAGTGTGCTGAGTGTGCTGGGAGAGCTGATTCCCTCTCATTTCCCGGCCCCAGTCGATGTGGGGAGCAAACCTGCCCCCCCTGCCTGAAGAAACCCAACACACTCATCCCCAAACCCGGGGCTGAGCCTTTGCAGGTGGGAACTGGTGCCCAAGCAGTGGCACCAGCAGAGAGCTGGGCACAGCCAGAGCAGAGCCCAGGGCCAGAGCCCAGGGCTGGGGGATGTGGGGGGCCTGGAGCTGCGGCTCAGTGCTGCTGGGGCCACCAGTAACTGTCCCTTGCTGTTCTCTTCCAGAGCAGGGTGAAGCTGCCCAGTCACACTGAAGTAAGGACATGGCTCTTCTGCTCCCCACTTGGCACTGCTGCCTCCTCTCGCCTCCTCCCTGTCCCTTGTCCCCTGCGCTCTGGGTGGGGGGTCCCAGCTCAGTGCAGTGTCCTGTTTGTGCTCTGTCTGGGGGACACCAGTGTCCCCCAGCTCCCAGCCCCTCCACCAGCTGGGGGAGATGGGGACGTCGAGGGTGGGGTTAATGGGACAGAACTGGGTGGGCAGGGCAGTGGGCACAAAGGGTTCATGGGAGGGGGTGAAAAATGAGGGCCTAGAGGAGGCTGGCCCCTGCAGATGGTACTGGTTAGTGGGAGAGATGGTGGGATTTCTTTGTTGAGAAAGACTGGAGCTACTGATGCCGGGAGAGGGAGGGTGGTGGGAATCACTGGGCTCCAGTTTAACCAGTTGCATTTGCACACTGGAGGAGTTGAGAAGGGAAGCTTGTGCTCAGCCTGGCAAGGGGTGCCAACCCAGGGAGGTGAGCGGGGTCTGCCCGTGCCAGGGGGCTGCCACGGCAGTGGGTCCCATGGGATGCCGTCCCGGCCCCTGCCACGGTGGGGGCACAGGGCAGGTTCCCTGGGCTCCCTGGGGTGCCCAGGGGCTGAGAGCCTCCCTGAGACTGGGCAGGGGTCTGGGTGTCAGGGGGGTGTGTGGTGGCTGCCAGCACTGCAGGGTACAGGCTGTGTCCTCCCCGTGCCCGCTGTCCCCTGCACTCGCTCTCTGCTCCCGCCATGTCCGGTGTCCGTACGGTCGGTGCTGTGCCCTGCCAGGCTCTGCTGGGTGCAGGTGCTTGGAGCACAGGGAGCAGGCTGGAACCCTTGGAACCCTTGGGCCAAGCTTCTTGTGCTGAGCAGAGCATGAGGACCCTGATGTACCAGCGTGATGTCCTGCCCTGGGGGTCTCCCCGAACCTGTGCTGAGAACTCAGGGGCTGGGGCTGAGAGTCCTGTGTCACCTTCCTGGCCTGGGTGGTGGCACCTGGGGCTCTCCAAGGAGCACTGACCGGTCCCCTGGAGCCTGGGGGAGCCCCTGGAGCTGCAACAAACTTCTGGCAGGACGTGCCCAGCCCGGCCATGGCACCCCCAGCCCGGCTGCTCACGGGAGCCGTCCCTGTCTCTTTGCTCTCCGCAGGGCACGCAGATGATTTTCAACGCGGCCAAGGAGCTGGGGCAGCTCTCCAAGCTGAAGGTGAGGGCTAGGGGGCCGGGCTGAGGGTCTCCAAGCTGAAGGTGAGGGCTGGGGAGCTGGGCTGGGGGTCTCCAAGCTGAAGGTGAGGGCTGGGCTGGCGGAGCTGGGTTCCTCTCTGCGCTGGGGCGGGTGGCACTGTGCAGGCTGGCACTGCCACTGCTGCAAGGGCCCCTCCAGTGCCCACTTGCTGATGTGTCTGGGGTGGGGGGAGCGGGGTGCTGGTGCTGTGCTGAGAGCAGGGTTTGTGCCCCCCAGGACCACATGGTGCGTGAGGAAGCCAAGAGCCTGACCCCGAAGCAGTGTGCCGTGGTGGAGCTGGCGCTGGACACCATCAAGGTGAGGACAATGAGGGGGCTCAGGGTGCCCTCAAGGCCACCCCATCAGAAGCACTGAGCATCCTGAGCCGTGTCCCCCTCCAGCAATACTTCCATGCCGGCGGGGTGGGGCTGAAGAAGACGTTCCTGGAGAAGAGCCCGGACCTGCAGTCGCTGCGCTATGCCCTGTCCCTCTACACCCAGGCCACGGACCTGCTCATCAAAACCTTCGTGCAGACCCAGTCCTCGCAGGGTAGGACACTCTGCCCTGCCCCCCCCCGGGCCCCCAACCCCCCCATGGGCTCGGCTGCCCCCAGGCCAGGACCCTGCCTTGCCTCTGTCCCAGGGGGTCCCAGCCAGGCTCACAGCGGGGCAGGGATGGGTGGGAAGGGAAGGGCTTTTCCTCCCGTGGTTTACAGGTGAGGTGGGGCCATGGATGCCCAGTGGCAGCCTGGCACTCCCCAGTCTCCACCAGCAAAAGGAGTGTGTCCCCAGTGCCAGGGCGTGGCTGGGCTGGCACAGAAATGGGGCCTGTGGGTGGGGGGAAGGTCACCCTCTGACCAAGTGTCACGGTATTTCTCCCCTCTGGATGGCCCCTGTCACCCAGCACAGACCAATCACAGGGTCCACCGGATCCAGATGTTGTGCCAGGGCCTGTCCTGGGCACTCTGGGTACCCACACCCCCCAATTTGGCATCTGGGGTGCCAGGTGTATCTCCCTATCCCTGCCCTGTGCAGTGCAGGGTGCTGGGCACCCTCTAGGGCAGAATCACCCCTCAGCTCTAAACACTGCCCTCTATTTTGTCCCTTGGCTGCTTGAGGAGGGGCCTGAGATGCTCGGTGGTGGTCACAGGCCACCGCAGGGTGCCCCAGCCAGGCTTGTCTGCGTCCTCGGGGAGTGGGACGTGCGTTTGCTGTCCGTGAGTCTCCTGCAAAGGACGTCTGTCCTGTCTGTGCCTCCTGTACCAGCCATGTTGGGGGCATGGGGTTGGGTCTGGTGGGTGCCAGCACCCCTGGGTGTAACCTGGCCCCAGGAGCCCCGGGCTCAGAGCTGGGGGTGCCTGGCACTCCTGTGTCGCTGCAGTGTTGTCCGGGTGCTTGGCCGTCCGTCTGTCTGCGAGATCTGATCTCTCTTTCTCTCTCTTTGTTTTCTCCCCCCTCCCTCACTGTTCCTGTTCCCCATGCACGTCATCTCCTCCCTCCTCCCTTCTTCTCCATCTCCTCCCTCCTCTCTTGGTTTTCATCTCCTTCCTCCTCTCTTTGTGGACTCCGTGCCGTGTCTCTGTCTCTTTCTCTCTCCTTCCCACTAGTTCATGGTGGGAAAGGGATTAGGTTTACCCTTAGTGAAGAGGTTTATCCTGAGAAGGGTACGTGTGCTACTCGCCCGCCCCTGCCCCTGCCTGCCGCCGGCCTGGGCTAGTAACAGTCCCCAGCCCAGCATCCCTGGCCTTGGGGACCCCCACTGCGGGCAGAGCTGGAGCCCACCACCCCCAAACTCCCGCTCCCAGGGCTGTTTTGGGGTGGATTTGGAGGAAACTGTGCTCAGCTCCACACTGACCACCCCCAGAGCGGGTTGGGGGCTGTCCCCATGGGAATAGGGGTGTCTGTCTGCACACTCTGGGCTCCCCACATTGTCCCCGGTGCTGCTGCCTGGGGGTGGGTGGGCACCCACCATGCCCTCCCCTGGGGACATGTGGCCCTAGGGGGGGCCGTGCCACGGCCCTGTCCCCCTCCTGCCCACCCTGCTACCAGCAGGACCATTACTAGCCTTGCTCCGGCGCGCTCCGTGTGCAGAATCAGCCCAGCCCCACGGGCCCCGCTTGGCCTCCATCACACCCTGCCAGGGCGGCCAGGACTGCACTCCCTGCTTGGCCTCCCATGCCCAGACACCCCCTGCCCGCCCTCCATCGCCTCCATTCCGGCTCAGCATGTGGCTCCGGGTGCCAGGGGGGGTGGACAGGGACGTGCCAGCCTCCACCCTGCCCTGGCACCCTCAGTGACACGTGGGGACGTGTCCTCCTTCCACTGGTATTCCCGTCCCGGGAGCTTTCTGCTGAGCCCTATTTGATCTCCGTGGCCCCGTGGGACCCACAGAGCCTGTCCCTCTGCCTTGCACCCCCTCCTTCACCCGTGGGTGCATGCACAGCTCTTGGTGGGGAGGGGGTGGGCTGAGCTGTTGGTCGCAGGTCACCCCACTTCCCCAGGCTCAGGGACCCCAGGGCTTGACGTGGTCTCTGGGATGGAGGGGTGTGGGGGGCAGGGCAGCCTCGAGAGCCTGGCAGGGCCGTGGCTGCCCTGATGGGGTCCCTCCTGCCTGGTGCTGTGCCCATGGCACTGTCCTCCCTCTGTGCCCAGAGCAGGGGGAGCTGGACCTCTGGCCTCTGCCCTCATCCCAGCCAGGCCCCTCAGCCCTGCCTGGGCAAGGGGGGTTCTCTGGAGCCTGTGGTCATGACATGGCAGGGTCAGCCTGGTGCTGGGGGTGTCCTGCCATGTCCATGCATCCACACTGCTGCGCCCACAACCCTGTGGCAGAGGCCACTTTGGGACAAACCCCACTGCCCACCCCTTCCCGCCCCGTGGTGGGTGACCTGCCTCCTCCAGTGGGGTTGGTGGTGGGCAGGGGACGTCAGGGACACCACAAAGATGGGCACTCACATCTCCCCGTGCCACGCAGGCTCCGGCGTGGAGGACCCCGTGGGGGAGGTGTCGATCCACGTGGAGCTCATCACCCACCCCGGCACTGGCGAGCACAAGGTCACGGTCAAAGGTGGGTTCTGCTGGCCAGGGGGCCGGGCTCTGGCAGGTGACAGCGCCCCTTGAGCCTCACCTGTCCCCTCCCCTCAGTGGTGGCTGCAAATGACCTCAAGTGGCAGACGTCGGGCATCTTCCGGCCCTTCATCGAGGTCAACATCATCGGGCCCCACCTCAGCGACAAGAAGAGGAAATTCGCCACCAAATCCAAGAACAACAGCTGGGCCCCCAAGTACAACGAGAGCTTCCAGTTGTGAGTGGTACCAGGGGCTGGGGCTGTGGGGGACAGGCTGGGGGATGCGTCTCCAGCACGTCAGGACCTCCTGGGGTTTGCCAGTGAGTTTGCTCACATCCCCCCCAGGATGTTTCAGGCGTTTCCTCGCTGGTAGAAGCGATGCCCAAAATAGGAGAAATAATTCTCTGGACGGTTCTGAGCGTAGAAAGGTAGAAAGCACCCCTTTGATTGCGGTGCCTTTGGTGCACAAAATACATTGCACACCCACAGTGTAGGCCCTTACAATTTCCAGACTAGTTATAGGATCTGGACATTTCCTCATCGGTTACACCCGGCCCCAAAACCGCCCATCCCATCCTCCCACCCTGGGGTGGTCCCAAAACATCCACCCTTTCCCCCCCGTCCTCATTGTCTCCATCCCCCTTGGAACGGCACTCGAAGCAGGGGGTGGGCAAAAGGAAAAGAGGCAAAGGCTTCTTTCGGGCAGTGGGGAGGCAGCAGAGCCGGGGGAAGGTTGGAAGATTGACCCCAACCCTGCCCATCCCTTGCCCTCCCCAGCACGCTGGGCACAGAGACGGGCCCCGAGTGCTACGAGCTGCAGGTGTGTGTGAAGGATTACTGCTTCGCCCGCGAGGACCGCACGGTGGGCATCGCCGTGCTGCAGCTGCGGGACATCCTGCAGCGCCCCGGCGTCGCCTGCTGGCTGCCCCTGGGCCGCCGCATCCACATGGACGACACCGGGCTCACCGTGCTGCGCATCCTGTCCCAGCGCAACAACGACGACGTGGCCAAGGAGTTCGTCAAGCTCAAGTCGGACACGCGCTCGGCCGAGGAGGGCAGCAGTTAAAGCTCCTCGCGCCCCCACCCGCCCGGCCCTCGTCCCCTCCCCGCTCCTGGCCCCCCTCAGAGCCCCCTCCAGCCGTGTATAAGCCATAAGAGCGGCCACAGAGGAGTCGCCGTGCCGGCCCGGGGGAGGGGGTGACGTGGCTGCAGTGACAGACCCTCCCCTCCCTCCCTGGCCGTGCTGGCGGGGTGACAGCGGTGCCGGGCACAGCCAGGCCCCCATCCCACCCTGTGGGAAGGTGCTGGGGCTGGGGGGGCTGCAGGGAAGGGCTGGACCCCAGCCTGGGTGATGGGACCAATCTGCCCTTCCCCAGCCTGTCTGAGGTGGAGGACCCCCCCCCCCGGCACATCCCTGAACCTGCGCTGTCACACCCAGCCCCAAACCTCACTGAGGGACAAAGGAAAGGGTTGGGGGAGGTGTGTGGGATGTGAGGGGCTGTGTTGGTGGTCTGAGGGGCTGTGTGTGTGTGTGTGTGTGTGTGTGATCCCACCCAGGGGTGTTGCTGAGTGGTTGTGACAGCCCCTTGTCCCCATCCCTGAGCGCTGTGGTGTGCCCTGAGGGGCAGGGCAGCTCCCACCCCTGAGCACCTGTACATATGTAAATACCTGTACATACAGGGCAGCCGGCCAGGCTGTGTCCTGCACCCGGAAGGGCTATTGGGGCTGTTGGGTTGGCAGGTGCAGCCCCCACGTGCCCTGCACGGGGTCCCCTCCCTGGCTGGCAGCGGCATCACCGGGGCCGGGAGCAGCAGGGAGCAGCCCCCGGCCCATATCCTGTCTTCCCTGCCTTGCTGCCACCATGGGCTGCCCCACTGCCTCCCACGAGGTGCCAGGGCTTGAGGGGGCAAGGGCTGGGGGCACCAGAGCAGGGGGACCTGTCCCCCTTTGCTCTGGCCAGTGGGGACCAGCATCCCCGTGCAGGGCAGCCCATGGGACCTCCTCGGCGCAAGCAAGACCCTTCCCACCCCTCCCCAGAGGACCCCTCCCTCCGGTTCCCCACTAAGCACCAGTTCTGTCCCACCCCAGTTCCCCCAGTAAGCACCATTTCTGTGTGGTAAGTGGTGTGTGCATGTCTCGTGCGAGTGCCTGGGAGGTCAGGGTGTGTGGTGTCGGGGTGGCCACCCCAGTGGGCCAGTTTGCCCTGAGTACTGGGGCAGACAGAGGCCTGACAACCCCACAAGTCAATACAGCTCTCTCAGCCCCCTCCCACCCCAAAACAGGGTACCCCCACTGGCCCCCACGCTCCTTTTTCTAGAGGGTTTGCCTGGGACCAAAGGGTTTCGCTTTCCTCTCTCTCGTTTCTGTTCAATGTTTACACCCTTTTTCTACAGCTGCTCCTGCACAGCCAGGCTGGGGCTCAGCCCTGCACCCCTGGCCCTGTGCCCCCTCCCCAAACTGTCCTGTTGGCATGTGATTGAACTGACCAATTCTGCTCCTGTAGCACAGTGTCACCGATGCCTGTGTGTCTGTCCCGCCGGCGGCGGCGGCTGCCATGGATGCATGACAGTGAGATGTTTTGCACTATTTTGAATTTTTTGGGCTCTGTAAAAATATTTTATTATAACTGACATTAAAAAGCACACCCTTCGCTGTGGCTCCTGTGAGGTGTGGGCAGGGGGCAGGCACCTGG